CAACACTCTGTACATGTCTAATATATTCACATTTATTCTACTTCCAATGCTTTCTTGATTTCCGCCGCAAAGGATAGTGGGGAGCAGTAGCTGGGCCGTAGCGATAAAAAACCTGACCATCCCTGCTAACTAAAAATATGGTGAAATTCCACTTTATATGAGATCCCGACAACTAGGGATGTCAACGGGGCCCCGTGAGGTCGGGGAGTGCCTTCCCGTCCCCGTCCCCGCGAATAGCGGGGACGGGGATTCCCGCGGGGATTTTTGACGGGGGGTAGATTTTGCCCCCCGTCCTCGTTCCCCGTAGGGAATGGGGATCCCCGCGGGGATTCCCATTCCCCACCAATTAATAATAAAGTATATATTTTTTGCATTAAACATAAATAAAAATTAATTTAACACAAATAATTAAATCAATAAAATTGTTTTAAATAGAGATTAATCCAACATAAAGCAACATGTTCTAAATATAGGCAAAAATCAACCCAACAAGACTCAAGGATAAAAAATGGGACTACAAAATTAACAACCAATCTCAAATAAAGCAGTAGAATTTTTCATGCATCAAAATAGCTTCGAAACATGAAACAGAGAACCTGAATCAGAACAGAGCCAAATATATTATCAACTGCAATGCACTTTTATAAGCAAGTAGATAATAGAGGCCTGGGAAACAAGGTTCGTTTATAGCTATCTGAGACTTCAAAAATTCTCAGAAAGATATGCAGTGAAGATACATGTGTTCCTGGGAATAATAGGTCTTCTTATAATTAAAGGATTAGACACCCCTTCTTGATACAATGAAGAGAATAAATGATGGATTCAACAGAAATATATAAATAATAATCTAGGATCTACAAAAGAACATGCACGCTGCAGTCAACAATAACAGAACATAGCCCAACATTGTCTAAACAGATGGACACACGCTGCAGTCAACAATAACAGAACATAGCCCAACATTGTCTAAACAGATGGACAGAAACATCATCTCGAAGACAGAGAGTTAGTCTACATGATACAAGTATTTTTACAATCCAACATGAAGGGAAGCAGCCAAGAACCAACTCAAAACTAGAGATCTGTTCTTACCGTTGGATGCCAAGAGGGAGTGCAAGCAGAGAGGGAATCCGGCACAGGGCAACAAGCAGAGAGCAAGTCCGGCACAGTGCAGCAAGCAGAGAGCAAGTCTAGTGCAGTCCAGCAAGCAGAGAGCAAGTCCAGTGCAGTCCAGCAAGCAGAGAGGGGTCCGGCACAGTGCAGCAAGCAGAGTCCGGCACAGGCAGCAAGCAGAGTTCGGCACAGGCAGCAAGTCCAGCACAGGCAGCAAGTCCGGTGCAGTGCAGCAAGCAGAGAGGGTCCAGCACAGTGCAGCAAGCAGAGAGCAAGTCCGGTGTAGTGCAGCAAGCAGAGAGGGTCCGGCACAGTGCAGCAAGCAGAGAGCAAGTCCGGCACAGTGCAGCAAGCAGCAGAGAGGAAGCTCGGCACAGTGCAGCAAGCAGCAGGATGAACTCCAGCAGATCTGTAGGCTGCAGCTAACAGCTTTGACAGCAGCTCCAGGAGCAGATCTGCAACAGCTTCAGCAGCATATTTGTAGCAGCTCCAACAGCAGATTTGCAGTAGATCTGTAGCAGCAAGAAGGGGAGAGGAAGGTTGAAGGTGAGGTGAGACTTGAGAGCTTGATTGGCCGGCTGAAACCAAGAGTGAGTGAGGGGCTGTGAGGCTGTCTGCGACGTGAGTGAGGTGAGGACTGAGGAGAAACCGAGAAAGGGAGGGGAAATTACCAAAGTTATGAAATTAGGGTTGGAAGGGGGATTAATTAGGGTTATAAGTTGTAAGCCTTAGGAGGATGTTGGATTGGGTTGGCCGGAAGCACTTTTCTCATTGAAATTATTCATTTCTTTTCATTTTGGGTTGGGTTGAATATTTGGGTTGGGTACTTGGGTTGGATATTTGGGTTGGGT